TGCACAGGCTCTGGAGGCTGGGGACAGAAGCGGTGCTCATCCAGCACTCACTGTCCATACTTTGGCTGGTGCCAGAGGGAATGTTCCAAGGATAAAGGGCTATTGATTAGCAAGGATTTGATGACAGGCTGGGGTTCTTGCTCAGCATCATGGAAGTGGTATGCTGAGTAGCTGGAAAATAGACTCCGGAGTTAGATAATCCAGGATTTGAATCCAACTTTTCCATTATGTGACTGAGCCATTGGGCAAATTATTCAGCAGCTCTGCACGTCAACCTGTAGAGTGGGATAATTATACCCACCTCTTTCTGGTATGAAGATTAATGGAATAATATATGTGGAAGTCCCAGGCACCTGGGAAGTGTGGTTAGTGAATTTCCTCTTGAATAGTCAAGGGGATAATGCACACACTCCTGGGGAAGGGAAAGAGCTCGCGACTGAATCAGGATTCTCGAGTTTGGTCCAGACCCTGCCTCACAGCACCACCAGCCCTTCTTCTTTGCTAGGACTGTTAGGGGGATCACATATGATAGTGAATGGGAAATTTTTTGAAAAAAGCTTTGTAAATACAAGGCATAATTCTCTGCGTAACTTCTGCTGTTGATCTGTTGACATCTGTTCTTTCTAGCTCAAGGAAGGAGGACGGTACATTAGGTGCACAGACTGTGCAAGCCTCGAGTTAGTCACGTTGCCCTTGGGTCATGCATTAGCTTCCTGTCACTGCCGTCATAAATTACCATAAACTTACTGACTCAAAACAACAGGAATTCATTCTCTTACTGAGAGGCCAGAAGTCTAAACTTAGTGTGTTGACCGGGCCACGCTCCTTGTGAAGACTCTAGAGGATACTCCTTCCTTGCCTCTTCCAACTGCAGATAGTCCTTGGAATGCACAGCTTCAGTCTCTGCCTTGTCTTCATGTGGCCTTTTTGCATCTTTCTTTAAAAAAAATATTTATTTATTTATTTATTTGAAAAGAGTTACAAAGAGAGGGAGAGACAGAGAAAGAGGTCTTCCATCTGCTTGTTCAGCTCCCTGATGGCCACAACAGCTAGGGCTGCGCCAGACCCAAACCAGGAGCCAAGAACTTCTTCCGGGTCTCCCACATGGATAGCAGGACCACAAGCCCTTCGGCCATCCTCTACTGCTTTTCCCAGGCCATTAGCAGGGAGCTGGATCAGAAGTGGAGCAGCCAGGACACGAACTGGCACCCATATGGTTTGCTGACACTGCTTTACCTGCTGTGCCATAGTGCCGACGCCCTTTGCATCTTTCTGTGTTCTTTCTGTTTTTCTCTTATAAAAGTACTTTCACTGAATTTAGGAACTACGCTAATCCACTCAGGGAGCTCTCATATGGATCCTTGCCTGAGTTACATCTGAAAGAGCTTAGATCCAGATAAGACCACATTCTGAGATTCAAGGTGGACAGAAATTTGGGGAGGGGACATAATGCAACCTACTACAGGGCCTGACAACCTCCATCTAATCTTTCTATAACCCTTATTCAATGCAGACTTCTATTAATGTTTAGATTGTGTGGAGCAGTGGTCCGCTCCGCGGCTCACTAGGCCAATCCTCTGCCTGTGGCGCCAGCACTCCGGATTCTAGTCCCAGTTGGGGCGCTGGATTCTGTGCCGGTTGCTCCTCTTCCAGTCCAGCTCTCTGCTGTGGCCAGGGAGCACAGTGGAGGATGGCCCAGGTCCTTGGGCCCTGCACCCACATGGGAGACCAGGAGGAAGCACCTGGCTCCTGGCTTTGGATTGGCACAGCACGCCAGCCGTAGTGGCCACTTGGGGGGTGAACCAACAGAAAAAGGAAGACCTTTCTCTCTGTCTCTCTCTCTCTCTCTCTCACTGTCTAACTCTGCCTGTCAAAAAAAATAGATGTGTGGAGCAGCAAAGTCATTTGGATGAATATCCAGCATTAGTTCAATGTGTGCCTGTGCAGAGAGAATGACAGGGAACAGAGTGCAGACACTCCACATGAAGGCTAGCAAAGGACTCATTATATAGGTAAGAGGAAGGGCAAACTACACAAGTGTCGTTGCCTATCTTTAGGAGAGAGAGGCTTGACCTAAGTAGACTGGAGCTTGCAGTCCAGTAACTGTGTGGTCTAAAGAGAGAAAACACTAGTCTTGAAGTCAAACTGGCTCATTGGTTGTGCATTAATAATATGAGGTTAATACTAAGATTCCCATCAAGATGTTCAAGTATGAAACTTCATTAGCACAAAGGAGCATAGTATGGTCTTGTCTCACCAAATATGCTTTCAAAAAGTAGAATAAACATGTATCAACAACATGGGGTCCACTCTGTCTCGATGCTGTCTTTCAGTTGAGTGCCTCTGTGGTCTATATGAAAGCCTTATGGGACAAGTCCTGTGGGAATTTGGGATCTCAATAATCTCATGTCATTTAGTTATATTCCAACTGCTATTTTATAAATAGTGAGAGTATACTACTCAACCCACCACTTGTATTCTCAGTTATTGTGTTCTTGTAAATAATTAATAACCAGGTCTCTGAAAAATATTGTATGCATACCTACACATATAACATAGCTTATTATAAATTTTACTTATATAAAAGATGTATAATACATTACTTACAAAGTACAACTTATTGTGTGTGTATGTGTGTGTATTTAAGATTTACTTGTTTATTTGAAAAACAGAGCAACAGAGTTCACTCCCCAAATGCTGCAATAGCCAGGACTGGATCACGCCAAATCCAGGAACCTGGAACTCCTTCCCATGTGGGTTGCAGGAACCCACATACTTGGGCCATCATCAGCTGCCTCTCAGGTACATTAGCAGGAAGCTGGTAGGAAGCATAGGGTAGCAGGTTCTCTAATGAGGTCCTCTGATAGAGGAGATGAGCATCCCAGGCATCAGCTTAACCCTCTGTGCCACAACACCTGCTCTCCAATTTGTTGTACATTAATAAAATGTACATCTCCTTTTTTTTTTTTTTTATAGGCAGAGTGGACAGTGAGAGAGAGAGAGACAGAGAAAAGGTCTTCCTTTTTCGTCGGTTCACTCCCCAAATGGCTTCAACAGCCAGAGCTGCACCGATCCGAAGGCAGGAGCCAGGTGCTTCCTCCTGGTCTCCCATGGGGTGCAGGGCCCAAGCACTTGGGCCATCCTCCACTGCCTTCCCGGGCCACAGCAGAGAGCTGGACTGGAAGAGGAGCAACCGGGACAGGATCCGGTGCCCCGACCGGGGTTAGAACCCCGGGGTGCCGGCGCCACAGGCAGAGGATTAGCCTATTGAGCTGCAGTGCCAGCCACATCTCCTCTTTTAAATTTCATATCTTCTAATGATTTTCACAGAATTTCTGTATTTATATTGGCCTAACTCAAACCATAGGCAACCTTTGATAAGAGCTGATGAATGTAGTTACAATGTGAATGTTGGTAAAATGTCCTCTTCTATTTTTTTAAAGATTTTTTATTTATTTATTTGACAGAGTTACAGACAATGAGAGACAGAGAGAAAGGCCATCCTTCCGTTGGTTCACTCCCCAAATGGCTTCAACAGCCAGAGCTGCACCGATCTGAAGGCAGGAGCCAGGTGCTTCTTCCTGGTCTCCCACGCGGGTGCAGGGGCCAAGCACTTGGGCCATCCTCCACTGCACTCCCTGGCCACAGCAGAGAGCTGGACTGGAAGAGGAGCAACCAGGACTAGAACAGGCACCCATATGACAGAGGATTAACCTAGTGTGACATGGCACAGGCTCCAAAATGTCCTTTTTTAAGTTAAAGAAATGTGAGACAATAAAGAAATGTGTTGGAACATCACTTGTTCATTAGTGACACTGACAAATCAGATGACAGTTTTTGAATACTAAGAAAATATTTTCCCTGTTTTTTTTTTTTTTTACATCATCTTCAACATAAGGGCTATAGTCACGGCACATGTTTCCCTGTCACTTTTCACATCTAGACAGTATTATAATAAATGAAAGCTCCGGCTTATATTGTTTACTGATTTCCATGGTATAAATCCCCATGTCTGATTCCAGGCTCCCAACATGATGTCGTTGAATGAAGAGCTGGGAAGAGAGTCGCAGCAGCATCCATGACCTAGTAACTTACTTCCACCACAAAGAGACACTAGCTTTAACAATAGTAACTTCATAAAATAATTAGTAAGTATTGAGTAATTAGAGGGTTTTATTCCCTCCATTTTAAACATAATTTATTCAGTGTAAGTTTGTGTAAATACATGTATCTTAATAATGGCCGTGTTTATCAATCAGCTCACAGTTTCCTGAAAATATAATAATTGGCTTTCATGAGTTGATCTGTACTGGCTCTATCGCAAGATAGAGTGTCGTGCTGTGGGAACCATGGTTGGCTACTGGGTGAAGAAGGAAGGGGAACGGTGAGAATAAAGAGCAAGTTCCCACATATAACCAATTCTTATCACCCTGATCCCCTTGGAGAGGCCAATAGGAGAGTGTCTTTGACCTTTAAGGTGGGTTCCAATTATGCTGACCTGGCCTTCCAAAGCCTCCTTGAGAGCACTGGTGGTAACAGCGTCTTCCCGTGTTCTATTCTCATAGCTCAACTCAGAACAGCACAGGGTCTCCTCCACCAATTCTAGCCATTTCTCTTCAATGAAAAGCCACACATTCCAAAATAAAGGTAACTCCCCAAAGCATGGCACAGGGCTCACTATATTCCAGCACATTGTATCCACAGGGAAACTGGATTTCTGCCAAGAAATCCACACCCCCACCCCCCACCCCACCTCTCTGTGCCTGTGGCACCAGGGCTGGAGTGCAGGCAGAAGTGTTCTCTGAGATTATAGGGCAAATGCATAGGAAGAGTTCTATCAGTTCAATAAAATTCAGTCATCTAAGTTGAGCTTGGAGCTGGCACATTTGAGGCTTGGCTTGACGAAACTCCCTCTTTTCTTTGCACTCTTAGAAGAGTTGTCAGAGGGAACTGCTCAGAGAAGTCATGACATCCATTTCCTGGAGACAGCGAAGGAGAGTAGGAAGGGAGCCCATTTCAACCCCACTCGGGGGTTTGGCCGGGATGACTACACAACCCTTTTCCCGGCTCCAGTAATGTAAGTGCCTGACTCGTACGTGTTTCTTGAGAACAAAAAGTGACTTCAGGCCTGAAGAGAGATGAGCAATCCTCGAGACACAGGCAGAAAAAGTCCCAAGTGAGACAGGAAGCTAGTTCAGGAACCTGCTGGCTGCTGATGTGTAAACTAGACAGCAGAGGCAGCACTGCTGACACGCAGCCCGCTTCTGCTGCCGTGCCTGCGAGCGGCCGCCGGGCTCCCGGCCAGGCCCCCTTCCCTCTCCTCGCTGGCTGATGGATACCAAGGGGTACTTCTCCTGGAGCCTCCTGCTGGTCCTGTCCCTGGCTTTTGGACTGAGCTACGTAGCGGGTGAGTGTTCTTCTGTTTAGGGGTTTGAGTCCCACAGCTAGCTGCTGGGGACCAGCATAGCCTTGTGGATGGAGAGAAGGCATAGGGGCTGGGGACTGTGGGTCAGCTGCCTCTTCCTTAGGGACTGGCTGTGAGTTTTGACTGCCTCTTTAAGGAGGAAGGACCATTATGAGTTCCTGGGCCCTTGGGTTCCCTGCCTTAACCTCATCAACCCTAGTTTCCAAGGAAACCAGGAGCTCCTAGCCAAAGGCATCTGTCACACTCAAAACCAGCCTCTCATCACAAGAGGTTCTCACCGGGGTCCTATCCAAGCGGGTTGATTTTGCATGACTACCCTTCGGCAAGACCCAGGCTTTGGGGGACAGATCCCTAGGATATGATTTGTCTGAATGCTTACATATACAAGCACACAAACCAGAATCTGGCCCAACAAAAAGCAAGGGCTACAGTGAGAAGAAAGGGTAAGAAGTGAAAACCCCAGGCCTTTGGTTGAGAACAAAAACAGTGGCCTCAGTGTGGTCATACTGGTGGCTACTTTCTTGGAAGAGAAGCTTCCAAAGCAACAGAAGGGGGTAATATTGGGATTTCTGAACCCAAGGCTGGTTACAGTATGTGGGAAATGCAAATTGAAAGCCCTCAGGGTCAGAGTGGCTTCAGCAGTAGAGCCAGATGGCAGCTGAAACTTTGGAGCTGGGCTTGTCTGCCTCTCAAGGCAAACTATTTTTTTCTGCTTAGTAGTTTCAGGGCTTGAGATTAAAAAAAAAAAATGCCAAACAAGAAAATAGACATTAGGCTGTTGGCATGAGGAGGAGAAGGATCTCCTGCCTACACCCCTGCGACTTAAGTTAGACTTTGGGAGGCAACCTGGAATAGAGGAGGCATTAGAGAAAGGGGCAGGGGGAAACCCTGAGGCCCAGGGTGTTTTTGGGGTTTTCAAGACCACAGATCCATCATAGACTTTGGCAGGAAAAGCCCCGGGATCTATGAGGGATGCAGGGAAGCCGTGTGTGGGATCTACCTCGTGCCAGTCTCCCAGGTAAAGAGGCCTTTCCATGGCCTCACTCTCTTGCAGAATCAACAAAATCAGAGTTCTTACTTGTGGGATCTAGAAAAGGGACAACTGAACACAGGGCTCAGAAGGCCACACTGGACCACTTAGAGTGATCACAGGGAGAGCCAAGCTTCCCTTGTTGTACCTCATTTGTGACTTAGGTTTTTGGCATGCTTGTGTGTGACTGTAAGGAATGATGGATTGTCCTAGCGGTTGGATTTTCTGTCTCCATGCTTATTTGAATGGTCAAGTCAGTTACACTGGTCAGTCCAGCTCAAGGTATTTCTCATACAGCTTACAGCGGCTCTGGAGGTAGTTGGTGAGGGAGAAATGGCCCAGCCCCAGAAGGCGTGTCTGCTCAATTGGCTGCTGCTCCTTCACTTGTGTTCCATCTTCTGAAATGTATACAAAATTTTTTCAGTCTTTCTCTTCAAATATGCACCCTTTTGTGAAACCCCAATAAAACCCAGACGGAAACACTTTGCAAATGGGACAGGTCAGTCATGACAGATTTACCCAACCAAGGTTTGATTCTTGTAAAATCAGCAACACTCTCCTTTCCATCTCTGCTCAGCTCAACTTCCAATTCCCAGTCAAAATCATAAAAGCCTAAAAATTCACATGTCCCCTTCCCAGCTCCCACCAAGGAAATTTTTCTTAGAAGATTTTATTTTTAGAGCAGGTTTAGGTTGACAGCAAATGTAGCAGAAGGCAGAGGTTTCCTAAAACCCTCTGCCCCACACAGACAGAGCCTCTTCTGTTATCCATACCTCCTACTATGGTGGTACATTTGTTAAACTTGATAAACCCAAAAAAGATTTTTTCCTTTTTCCATGCAGGACTTCCTCATCCTCTTCACATACAGGGGCTAAGAGGTGAGAAGCAAGCATACAGTTCTAGCCTTGACCTGACCTTGTGTGTTTAATGGTCCATTGTATTCCAGGATGTTGATCTAGGTGCTTGTAGTTCCCAAAAGCTTTCCTACTGTGACATCTAAACTAACTCCAGGACTGGAGTGGAAATCAGAACACCAGGACATTTTGGTTTTATCCATAGATGGACTTTGGGTGATATCTTTTAAGCAGCTATCTATTAAGAAAACATGATATGGTAAGCATTGTACAAAGTGTGGAGAAAGCAAATAGAATGATCACAGCCACTGCCTAGCCCCTGGCACAGTTGTTTGTATGTGAAAGTGCATCCAGAAATGTTTGTTGAAAGAAGAATGTTAGTACACATTTCATATTTGCTATGTACCGGGCACTGTTCTAAGTGCTTTGTGTGTATCTGTCATTTACGTCTCACACCAATGCTATGAGATGTATTATCATTATTACCATTACAAATTTATAAAAAAGGGAGGAGAGGTATGGAGTAATTTAACAGTTTCTCCATGCTCATACAACCTGACACCGGAGATCTCAATGAATGAAACTGGAGAACATTATGCCTGGAAAGCGGGGATGATGCTGAAATTTGCATCCAGCTCTCATGGTATAAGTTAGAATATGCGTTCTATAATTGAACTGTGTGAGTTGGATTGAATTACACGGAAGTATAGCATTCTCAAATGGTGAGAAATGTTGATAAAAATTATAGATTGTGGAGAGCATTTAAGAAATATTTTATCTAGAATTTGGAAAGTGGGTAGAGATTTTTTTCACCATGCCAGTTTTCACTTGATTTTTTAAGCTAACCTGTTTATTATAAGAATATAATGTTCGTCTATAAAACTTTAACAATATGTGAAGTGAAGACTCATCTCCCTTCCATGCCCCTTGCTGAAGGCAACCACTGCTACCAGTTTCTTATGTGTCTTTCTAGATATGTGAGTAGGTCTAGTAGGTTGGATTTTTATGGGACTTGCAAAAGAGTATTCTACCTGAAGGTACAAGTGCAGAGGTGAAGGATTGTAGGGGTTGAGGGGGAAAAGCAAGAGATTCGTTGTACCAAAAACTTAGAGGTCATAGCTAATATGCTTCCATCTCTTCACCCAGAAAGTGGGGAAAGGGGTTCCCATTATTTCCCCCCATACTATACCTTTTAGGGATGTTATAAAGACAAAGTCAAATACATAATTATTGTAGAAAGAGGAGAATTATATTTCTGTGTTGTCATTTATCCACTTATCCATTCATTCATCTCATTCTGTTTTGCTCATCAACTTGGGCTGCAGGATTTACTAAGCTCATGCTTTGTCCCAGGTGAGTATTAGGGATACAACAGTGAATAAAACAGACACAGTCCATACTCTTAGAAGCTTGTAGAATGGAGTAAAGGTGACAGACCTTGAATCAGAGTTAGAAAGGTGATAAATGATGTGAGAGAGAGATGCAAAGTGCTTTGAGAGCATGAGGCAGAAAAACCAAATCTGTGCTAGCAGTCAGAGAAGTCTTCCCTAAGAAAGAGGTGTGGAGGGTGGAAGGTGTCAGCCAGGCAGATAAAGGGTGGTTATAGGCTTTCACGCTGGGGAATAATAAGCACAGATAGTCTAAGAAAAGATCCAGCACTCCCAGTAGCATCAAGGAATGGGAATAGGAGTTTGACTGATTGGGCTTTAGTTTATTTATTTGTTTATTTTGAAAGGCAGAGAGAGAGAGAGAGAGAGAGAGAGAGCGAGGTCTTCCATCCACTGGCTCACTCCTTAAATGTCTGCAATAGCCAGAGCTGGGCCAGGCCAAAGCCAGGAGTCTGGATTTCCATCTGGGTCTTCCACATGGTAGCAGTTACTCAAGTACTTGAGCCATTGTTTGCTGCCTCATAGGCTGCTCATTAGTAAGAAACAGGAATTGGAAGTACAGTCAGGATTGAAATTGAAATTGGAGTTTAAAAAGTGACTGAGACAAGTTATCTTTTTCTTTCTAGACCTCCATTTACTGTAAGAACAATTGGAGTCAGTAAGTCCGGTCTCTTCTCTACCTCAAAGAAAGGCAGTAAAAAGTTTGCTAAAAGTACATGTGAAGTATCAGAACCAGGTCTCTCTGCCCCCTCAAAAGTTATCATTAGGTAGAATCCCAGCTTGTGGAAGGGATGGCTAAATTCTACTAATGTCAGGCCAATATCCATGGTCCCCTGTGAATCACTCTACTTTCTAAGTAGAATTACCCATGAAGGAAAGTGAGTTGGTGGCAACAGCTCTAAATGTTTCCTCCCCAACTCTCAGTAAACAGGGGCTGACTGAATCACAGGGCCCCTGGAAAACACTTATCAGACAGTCAGACGTTTCAGGAGCAAGGACTCCACTTGACGAGGTTGATGAGCCACTTTCAAGTCCCCATTGATTTTTCCACTTGCGCTGAGGTGGGGATGATCTCAAGTACCCCCTGCAGACCTGGCCACTCACACACTCTGGTGTTACATCATCATTCTTTGTGTGGGTTGAGGGGTGATAGGGTCTCCAGTCTTGATGAATTTTGATTCCACTCCCTATGTGCGCAAACCTCTCAGCCTTTCCTTCTTATCTTCCCCCTCCTTTTTCTTTCCCTCTGTCTCTTTATATTTTCTTTCTTTCATTCATTTATTTTTGGCTACATCATACTCCATCTTGTATCTTCTTTCTCCCTTCCTCCAATTCCAAGTTCGGAAAGCAACTGTGGTTCAAAGAAAGAGCCTGCAGGTTTAGGTAGGGAGAAAGGGCACGTGGGAGATTTGTGGGAGGGTGAAGGGTTATGGTCTGAGAATCAGAATAATTTTCATTCTTTTTTTCTCCATGTCAAAATTAGGCTTGAAAAAAAGCTATCAAAGGGGTTCTTAATCTTGTTCTGAATCTCAGATGCTTCCGAGAGATAACACTGACAGATACACTCCCAGTAAAATGTGCCTGTGCTGATACACACAATTTTTGGTACACAAGTGCAGGGATCCACACTTGCACGTGACTCTAGACTTTCTCTTACTCCTTTATAGAGAGAAGTTAGGTTCAGAATTCAAGAGTTCACTTTCTTGGGCACTATGCCTACAATTCAGACATGTGACAATCAGAGAGCCACATCACCAGACAGTCAAAGTGTGGATTAGAAAGTCCAAAGTCTTCCCTATTATCTATGTAAAAATAATAATGACTACTGTAACATCCCTTAACTCATCAAACAACAGAGAGCACTTTAGTTTAAGGAAGATGTATTAACACTATTTAACAAAGCAAATGTTTTATTCCTTTTTCACTTTTCTTTAGCAAGTATGTATTTAGCATTCCAATCCTGATTTTAACTCAAGTAGATTACTTTTTCTTTTTTCCCAATCACTGAATCTCATATTAGTTGGGCCCTTTATTTGACAGTGTTGGGATTTTAGGGCATTTTGTTATCAAGAACATTTTGGCCAGTTTGGTCAGTTTTCTCCTATCCCATCTTAGCCCCAAGTATAATGTGGAAGGTCTTTTCTCAGTAGCTATCTTACCTAAGTAGACGGTTTTATTTAGCTCCTCTGCTTTCTTATCAACCAGAACAATCTATGCTCGCTGTCTGAGTCATGGGCCCCTTCTTTTACAAACACTAGATTATGGTTAAGTTCAGTTATATACATAATAGGTAAAACTAAATAAGAGATTTTAGAAAAGTAATACAGTTTTCAGCATTTGTAGGCTGAACAGATATTTATTAAAAGCCTCTTAAACACCAAGTCATATTGTTTTTTGTTTGTTTTTTTGTTTGTTTTGTTTTTGTTTTTGACAGGCAGAGTGGACAGTGAGAGAGAGAGAGACAGAGAGAAAGGTCTTCCTTTTGCCGTTGGTTCACCCTTCAATGGCCGCCGCGGCCGGCGCACCGCACTGATCCGAAGGCAGGAGCCAGGTGCTTCTCCTGGTCTCCCATGGGGTGCAGGGCCCAAGGACCTGGGCCATCCTCCACTGCACTCCCGGGCCACAGCAGAGAGCTGGCCTGGAAGAGGGGCAACCGGGACAGAATCCGGCGCCCCGACCGGGACTAGAACCCGGTGTGCCGGTGCCGCAAGGTGGAGGTTTAGCCTCGTGAGCCGCGGTGCCGGCCAAGTCATATTGTGAGACTTACAGACAAAACAGCAAGTGAAATGAAACTCTTCTTGAGGGATTTGCATTCTAGTTGGAAATATAAAAATAAACAAATACACATTATTACATCAGGCATTGATTAGTTCAATAAAGGGGAGGCTATTTTGTACAATTATTGGAGAAAATCTCTCAGAGGGCATAGTTTTTTGAGCAGAAACTTAAAATAAACTGGGAAATGAAATATCCATGCATGTACAGGAAGAGATTTCCAAAGAGAGGAAGAGAAAATTGCAAAGCTTTGAGATATAAATGTTCTTGATGGGACCTGGGAGCCAATGTGACCACAGGGCAATGAGCAAAAGCAGGAAATGGATTTGGAGTGGTGCCAGGGACAGGGTGCAAGGGGGTTCTGAACCTGTATATTTCGAGGACTATGGAGTTTATTATATGAATGCCAGAAGACTCTGGAAGTTTAAAAGCAGAAGGAAGACAAGAATCAGGCATGGCTTTAAAGGTTCTACTTTGTCTGTTGTATGGATGCAGCGAAGTCAGTTAAAGACAGCGCTTGTTCCCCAGGCCTACAATGATGTGATAGAAAAAAAAGGTGCGGAGTGCTCAGATGCCAGAAGTCCATTTAAATTGAGGGTCAACAGGACTTCCTGTTAGACTGAAGTAGAGTGTGGAGAAGGAAAAGAGTCTGGAGTGCTTGCAATGAAAAAGAAGCTGGCTGAGGTCTAATGTTTGCAGAAGGGGCTGTGGAGTCAGGAGTTCATTTGCTGAGAAGTTTCAGATGCCCTCAGACCTCCAAGTACTGATCAATGAAAGCACTCGGGAGTAGAGCGAAGGGTCTGGGTAGGAAACATAACTCTGTAAACATTCCAGAATATTCCAAACTGTGCTACTGGGTGAGAAACACAATGAGTGTAGAAAAAGAAAAGAACTGTGAGTACCTAGCCCTGGGATGCACCAATATTTAGAGAGCTGAGAGCAGAAGGTCTTCACCAAGGAAATAGAAAAGGCAGAACAAATGAAGTAGAAGGAAAATCAGAAGAGTGTGGTGTTCCAGGAGCCAAATGAAGACAGTACTCCTAGGAGGGAGCGATGAGCCGTCAAGAGCTTCCAAGAAAGCGAGTCAGATAATGGTGGAGAATTGACCTGGCTACATGGAGAAGACAGACACTAACCTTGATAGGGGTGGCTCCAGTGAGTAGCAGAGAACACCTGCTTGGAATGGAGACAAGGAAACGTGGGTCAGAAAACGGGAACAGAAAGTAGAAATAAACATTAAAGGCCCTTCTATACAGAAAAACAGAGGGGAGAGTGTTTGGTGCAGCTGTTAAGACTCCACTGAGATGCCCACATGGCATCCTGAGAGGTAGCAGATGATGGCTGAAGTGGTTGAGTCCCTGCCCCTCCTGTGAGAGACCCTGGGCTTCAGCCCAGCCCAGTCACAGGCAATTGAGATGTCAACCAGCAGATGGATGATTCCTGTCTCTGTCTCTCGGATGTCAGTGTGTGTGCACCTCTCAAAAAAAATGAAAATAAAGAAAGAAAAATTTAAAAAATTGAAAACAGAGCAATGAGGAGGTCACTGGAGATGGATCTGGGATCAGGAAAGGTATTTCTAAGAGAGGGGAATTACATATCTGTGTGTTGAATGTGGATGGAAACATGCCAGTAGGAAAGTGACAATGCAAGGGAAGGGGCGATTGCACAATCAAAGCCTTGAGCTGGGAAGAGCTCCAGCAGGGAAGGTCCCGGCATTCAGTGGGGATGGAGACCTTCCTTCCAGTGAGGTGGGCTGCTTTGGGGTGGTACAAGCAGAAATTCTCTTTTTATTTCCTCAGTTTTTATTTTCAGTCAGATCAAAAGCAAGATCATCAGCTACAAGAAGTGGGAGCAAGGCAGGTTGTGGGTTTGAGCAGAAAGGAGGTGTTAAATAATCAGCAGAGGATCCCTTATGGTGGTTTGAAAGGTTTTCAGGGTTTGTGGGTGTGATTTTCCCAATCTTTGTTGGTTCAGCTTTTTTTGAAAAAATAAAATAATATCTCACCCTTGGTAGTTTTAATTATCTCAGGGGTTTTTGGAGAGCAAGAATGGCACACCTTGAAAAAACTGAGCTCAACATCTTCCCAACTCTTCCCTCAGGTTTCTATTTACCTCATCTGAGATGATGCTTCCTTCACTGTGGTCCTCTGGGCTTCTGAGTTCAGAATCATTGTTGGTTGCTTCTCTTCCTTCACTCGGTACACCCAATGGTGATGAGAACCCTGGCAGGGGCACCAGCAGGCCTGGGTGCTAGTCCTGACTCTGCCACTCACCAGCTACGTATCTTTAAGGCACTCATTCAACTTTTCTGTGCTTTTTTGAGTTCCTCAACAATGCACATGAATCCATAGAAACCCAATGCTTGTGTAGGTGGCTCACGGCACTAGCGGCTTTGGGTGAAGAAAGATGAAATTCAGCCCACACACCACGCACCAAGTCTGCCCCTTGGCACAGAACCACACCTCCCTGCGGGGAGAAAGCACCTTCTTCTTCTTCTTTTTTTTTGGAAATGAATAATGTTTTATTTCTTTAAAGCTTTTATTTAGTGAATGCAAATTTAATAGGTACAACTTTAGGAATATAGTGGTTCTTTCCTCCATACCTGCCCTCCCACCCCTACTCCCTTCCCACCACCTACTCTCCCATCCCATTCTTAAGATTCATTTTTAATTTAACTTTATATACAGAGGACCAACTCTATGCTAAGTTAAGATTTCAACAGTTTGCACCCACACACACACACACAACAATACACATGAATCCATAGAAACCCAGTGTATTAGGCCATGTGAAGATTTTTATGGGGAATTTTTAAATATGGGTAATGCAGTGAGGGCCTTTGTGGGAACTGTAGACCCCTAAGAATCTGGCCACACCAGGGATAGCCCCAAGAGGAAGTAAGAGATACCCTAGTTTGTCATTCCTGATGCGCAGACTTAATGTGATCCTCGGAGGGCTCCATGATAAAGCATTCTCTCCTCGCTCCCACAGGTAGGGGCGTGATGGACTGCCCCAAGAGCGTCCAGCAGTTGGGAAGCAATATTTTGCTGCCTCTGACAAATGAAAGGATAAATAAGAGCATGAACAAAAGCATTCGCATTGTTGTCACCGTGGCAAAATCACCAGAGAGCAGCGTCAAGAGGAAAATCGTGTCTCTGGATCTGTCTGAAGGGGGCTCTCCAGAATACGTAGAGGATGGTTATCGGTTTCATCCAGAAGACCTGAAACTGGGCCTCTTGGAAAGCAGGAAGGAGCATGAGGGATGGTACTTTCTGAGCCTGGAAGAAAACACTTCAGTCCAGCAATTTTGTGTGCAGCTAAGTCTTTATGGTAATGATGGGGACTTCCCCAATCCAGACTGGAGGGCCAACCAGGTCCCCCGTCCAAGAATACAGGCCTTTCTCAGAAGCAAAGGGTGTTCAGAATTAGAAGAAACTTGAGAGATCATCTAGTCTGGGGGTGTCAAAACTGTGCTTCATGGAAGAGGCTTCAGAGTTTATCTTTCTTTTTCCTAAATTGCATGTGCGTGGCAGCTGAATAGCCGTTGCTCTCCCTCCCCAGACTTCCCAAAGGAAAGGGGTCCAGATGCCTGGGGGCTCAGGGGTCTAGAGCCCCAAGAGTCTTGGTTTGCAAGGAAGATTTTACTTGACAAAAGTAAGTTTTTCCAGTTAGAATACAACTGATCAAACCCAAGTTCTCTTTCACAGATGGGGACACTGAAATCCAGAGAGAGGTGGTTTGCACATGCTCACACATTGCTTGTGTAGGTGGCTCACTGCACTAGGGGCTTTGGGTGAAGAAAGATGAAATTCAGCCCACACACCACACACCCAGCCTGCCCCTTGGCACAAAACCACACCTCCCTGCGGGGAGAAAGCGCCTTCTTCTTCTTCTTCTTCTTTTTTTTTTTTTTGGAAATGAATAATGTTTTATTTCTTCAAAGTTTTTATTTAATGAATGCAAATTTCATAGGTACAACTTTAGGAATATAGTGGTTCTTTCCTCCATACCTGCCCTCCCACCCCTACTCCCTTCCCACCACCTACTCTCCCATCCCATTCTTCAGATTCATTTTTAGTTTAACTTTATATACAGAGGACCATCTCTATACTAAGTTAAGATTTCAACAGTTTGCACCCACCCACACACACAATATACGTTTTGAGTACAAGTTTTGCAGTTAATTCTCATAGTACAACTCATTAAGGACAGAGTCCTACATGGGGAATAAGTGCACAGTGACTTCTGTTGTTCATTTAACAATTAACACTCTTATTTATGATGTCAGTGATCACCCAAGGCTCTTGTCATGAGCTGCTAAGACTATGGAAGCCTTTTGTGACCACAAACTCCATCAGTATTTGGACAAGGCCACAAGCAAAGTGGAAGTTCTCTCCTCCCTTCAGAGAAAAGTACATTCTTCTTTGATGGCCCCTTCTTTCTACTGGGGTCTCACTCACAGAGATCCTTCATGTAGGATATTTTTTGCCACAGTGTATTGGCTTTCCATGCCTGAAATGCTCTCACAGGCCTTTCAGCCAGATAGGAAGACTTAAGGGTTGATTCTGATATCAGGGTGTTATTTATAGCAATTGTAATTCTAGGAGTCTGCTGTGTAGACTGCTTCCCATGTTGGACATTCCCTCCTTTTTCTCCTTTTTAATTCTGTCTATTATTATTACCAGGCACTTGATGTTATTTATATGATCTCTTTAACACTTAATCCTATCTATATGTTCACTTTAACACTTAATATGATCACTGTAACAATTAAGATGTGCCTTGTTCTTAATCGAATGCGGGCTCTGGTCATAACATTGCTTAGTTGCAGTACATAAATTAGAACTCAGACCCAGCTAATCCCAAGCCAGAAGCTTTTTGAACCCCTTTAACTGCCAATTCCACTTGAAAGCACCTAGAGTTTGTGTCGCTGAGACCTAGAGGCTCACCTGGCTTCACAGGAATTCTGATAGCCACATGGGACTTTCTCACTTGTTCAACATGACTTCCTTGTTGCTGATGCTGGGATATAAGGGACTCCACCTATCTCTCATTTCATTAAAATCTTCAGGCAACTAGAGCAAGGATGTCACTACCGACCCTAAGCCTCCTCTGCCCCAGCATTCCTTTTCCTTCAAACAGTGCATTCAGAATGTCCCCAAACCTCCCAATAGGTAAAGAGTATGTTTTACCTCTCTTGGACTCAGTTTCCTCATCTGTGAAATGGAAATAATTATGACCAGACAATAGCTATTGAGAAGATTAAAGAAGATGATGAATGTGAAACACCAGCAGTGTGCTTGCCCTGGTGTAGTTCATAAATAAACAGGTTTTCCCTCTTCCCTTGCCTATTTTATGGTGTTAGAGAGGAATAGATTAAGAGGCCTATGGCTGTCACAGAGAACTACCTCATACACACAAAAGCAGTTGCTGTACACACACACACACACAATGATGAAACATCACCACAAAAAAGTCATCCTTTGGGGTCTAAGAGATACTACTTGAAGTCAAGTAAAACCCATGGGGGATGACTTGACAGTAAAGCACACTTATATAACACAGGAGAACAATCTAGATCAAGAACATCAGGAAGTACAAGCAGATCCCCATCAGTGTTGGTCGAAGGGAACAAAAACTAAAAACTAAATTCTCTATTTTATCCCAAGGTAGTGTAGTGGGGAGTGAGAGGTGGGGTGAAGCAGTTGTTCCCACGGCAGATGAACCACACTAAAGCCCCTCGGGGAGGGAAAAGTGCTGTACCGAGTTCTAATAAGGAGAATTCAAGGGGTTCATGTCAGTGATGGCTCCCTTCCTCCCCCTCCTGACAGAGCAGGTCTCCACTCCAGAAATTAAAGTGTTAAACAGGACCCAGGAGAATGAGAACGGGACCTGCAGCTTGATGCTAGCCTGCACGGTGGAGAAAGGGGACCATGTGGCTTACAACTGGAGTAAGAAGGAAGGCCTCCACCCACTGGGCTCAGCCAACAGCTCCCACCTCCTGCACCTCACCCTTGGCCCCCAGCATGCTGACAATATCTACAACTGCACCGTGAGCAACCCAGTCAGCTCCCGCTCCCAGGCCTTCAACCCGTGGTCTATCTGCAGGTCAGACTCCTCAGGTGAGTATGCCTGTGGCAGCTGGTGCACTGCAATAATGAGCAAGGGCTCCGTAGCCACCTGGGCCACCTGCCCTGCTTACGCCACCACGGCCTTCCTGTTGGTTACCACACTTTTAATTTTCTTTACGGTTTGCAAAAGCCTCCCCTGTGTGCTTTCAGGGAGCGCATGCTCATCTTGACCTGGATGACATTATAATGCTCAGGACAGAGTTGAGAGAACCAGAGGAAATGATGCAGCCAGACCCAGAGCCCAGGTCTCCAAGGTGTGATCCTTCCCTTCTGCCTCCTGCCCTGGCTCCAATCTGTAGGAGTGACTGGGGAAAAGGACTGCAGGTGGCAGATCTTGACTCCCAAGTCCATGCTTCTGTACTGGTGGGGCACTTCAACATCATCAGCATGTGTTTGTTGACCCCTTACACTGCAGGTATCAGGACTAGATACGCAATGTGAGCTCTGCTGTCCTCCCATGTGTATTAAAGACTTGACTGGCTAAAGAAAATGTGATATATATATATATATATATATATACACACACACACACAATGAATACTACTCAGGCATATAAAAGAATGAAATCCTGTATTTTGTAGCAAAATGGATGCAACTGGAGACCATTATGCTTACTGAAATAAGCCAGTCCCCCAAAAATACAAATATCATATTTTTTATCTGATATGTGGCAGTTAATGTAGAATACAAAAACAACGTGTAAGAATGAAACCGCTATCTTATTATTTGATTATTGTTTATAACTCTTGTCTGTATTCCTGTGGAACAGTGGTTTTTCCACTTTTTACTTGTTGAACACTATGGCTAGTGGTGCATTAAGCTTGTGATTATACACTAAATTGAAAGTATGTTATTGCAAAAACTAAAGGAAAAAAAGAAAGGAAGGAAGGAGGCGGGTATTGAGGAGGGAGGGACGGAAGGAGGTACTGTTATCTTCTTAGAATTATTATCTATGAAAAACATAAGACCTGTTCTCTTTACATTAATAAGATAAGAAAGGAAATAAAAAAGACCTAGAAATAAGAAAAGTGATAAAAATAGCAACGACTTTAATAAAACTATTATAGATGTTAAAAATGCTCAGTAATATCGCAGGACATAATGAAAGACCTCATCTTATGTAATAAACAGAATCCCAAGGGAGGTCAGAGAGCCAGGGATGTCAGAGAGACGTCGGACTCTAGTTGGAGGGAACACTGATCAATTGCAAAGCACTTGATTATTAACAAAGCACTTTCAACCGTATGACCTCTTTTGACCCCTGCAGTGACCTTGTTAGATAGGAATTATTATCCTCACTTTACAGATTTGGAAATTGACATTCGTAATGTTACATGCCCTCCTCAAGTTTCTTCATCTTGTGAAGAGTGGAGCTAGCAGTGAAACCTCAGTCTTCTGTTTTTTCTAGAAAGAAAGCATAATTGTTCTGTTACCAAAAGGAAGAGAGAGCTGAATAAGTAAGTTCATCTAACTACTTAGAAACAGGCTTGAACACTGCCTCCGTCACACCAACAGATCCTGTGTCCCTGTCTCAAGCAGGCTCAGGGGCAGCAGGACAATGCTGCCGGCCCTGTAAGGCATGGCAAGGCTTATGCCCTGACATTCTCTTCTCTGTGTCTACTGAGGGAATATAGGAGTCATTCCAAGGAAACCTCTGCCCGCAGTAGACCTGGTGACCATGGGGTGGCCAGGTTACCAGAATCCAGCCAGCTTATGTGCTCAGCAAAGCACCTCCTGCCATGAGACCCCCTGGATTGTTACCAGGTGGATAGCTGGGAAAATCCCCCTTTCAAGAAGCTGGATGGCACCTCACCCAACCATTTCATGGCAAGCCAACCATCTGTGTGACAAACTGCATGTGTCTGGCCACTTGCAGACAAACCATAATCAGAGGCTATCTCTCCAGCTCAAACCTCTATCCCTTCACACAGTTGCTCAGAATAGGCTAGCAGGACCAGGAGAGCAGTGTTGCATAACAGACAGTTTACAGAATGAGGCCCCTGAGCTCCTAGATCTAATGCTGCATTTTCTACTTAGAAGAGGAAGTCATTCAACCTCTCTGAGGCTTAGCTTCTTCATCTACAAATAATGACAACTAACAGTTATGTGGCTTCTCATCACATCTTCCTAGCAGCCAAATCATCTTGATAGACTGCTATCCCCTCTTTACAGATGAAGGAGCAAAAGTATGAAAAAGTTGGGCAAGGTTTTACACAGCAAGCAATGGGGCTGGGTTCTCTGATCCTGGGATTCTCACTAGTATTAGTGTAAGAGACAGTGCACCTAAATACTTTATAAATCATAATGAAAATGTGTTTTTTTTCCCTTGGTGGGGAGGAAGTGGTAGCCATTACCCTAGCAGCATAACTCTGGTTATTGCAGCCCTATTAAAGACAGGGCACCCAATGCTTTGTCTTGGCCTATCCTTTAAAAGGAAGAGAGCTCTATCATGCTTCTCCATGCGGTTTCACAAGAATGTGACTAGTATACACCAAAGTCTTGATGAACCGTCAAGTTTATGCTTGGGGCTCTGGGCCCAGAACAGCCTACGGAGACATGTGAAGATACTATTTGCACCTAAGCCACTTTGAGGACTGAGAATCCACTAGTCTGAACCAGGTTTACTGACTATGAGGCAGCTCTTATCTATAACTTGGTGTGGAGGGACAAGAAGCAGCAGAGACATAGCACTGTGGCAAGAGCCCCATCACAATCTTGGCTCCGTCATCAAGAGAGCTACCCGCCATAAGGCAGCTATGTCCTTCCCTTAAGCCTGCTTAATCATCTGAAAGATGAAAAAGGTGAGCTAGTGAAGTGTCTACCAGATGGATAGTCTGTGAATCATTGTGTGTGTATGTCAATAGGAACTGCTAGTAAAGGGTTGCCAAGGAGTATTGGTTGTTAGGGTTGTCACCAGAAAGCACTACAAACTAAATGGGTTAAACAATTTACTGTCCCATAGGTCTGGAGGTTAGACTCCCAAGATCAAGGTCTTAGCTGGTTTTGTTTCTTCTGAGGCCACTCTCCTTGACTTGCAGGTGCCACCTTCTCCTTGTGTGTGTACATGGTCTTTCTTTCCTGTTCTTATAAGGACACCAGTAAGAGTAGATTGGGGCAACCCTTGTGACCTCATTTTAACTTAATTGTTTCCAGAAAAAAAGGCCCTATCTCCAAATACAGTCACATTCTGAATAATTGGGCATGAGAACTTCAACATATTAATTTGGAGGAAGAGGCACAATTAAACTTCTAGCACTCTCCTAATGGCTTCATTTTAACTTGATTACCTCTTTAAAGACCCTATTTCCCAACAAGGTCACATGTCAATTTGAGGAAAACACAATTCAACCTGTAACACAAGGACATCTCCTCTGGGGCTGGGAGACTATACCATATCTAAAGCAGATCACACAGCTAGTTTGCTCTATGTCCTTCCCAGTTCACCATGTTGTCTAAATTATTGGAAAAAAAGAGTTTTATTGGTACATTTATTTGTGTCTGCAAATGAACACCACTAATTCTTAAGGCACTGTTCTTAGTTTGACATTCATTGAGGTTTTATGTTGCAGCACTGTCCTCAATGCTGAGTGCACAAGTATGAGGAAGACATGATCTTTGTCCTTAGGAATGAGATAGCTCCATAAATGGAACCCTAGATTACAGTGTGAGACAGGTGCAAAGCAGCAATGCAGGCAAAGTAACAAAAAGGATGGATACTGTTAACACTATATCAAGGAATTAGGGAGAACGTCACAGAGGCTGTGACATAAACTGGGTTTCAGGCATAAATAGTAATTATCCAAGATGACAAAAGACTTCAAGCAATGAGAAAAGCAGAGCCAGCTGGGTCTTGTTCTGTGTTATCCCTTAAGTGATGGGAACTAATAGAGTTTTAAATACAGTAATCCCATCAATTTTGTATTTCAAAGAGGAAATTCAGTCATGAGAGAATAGACTGAAGCAGGAAAGAAGTAGAAGAGAAACTAGTTATGGAGGGACCTGGCTGCCCTGATCTTTCAAGAGATGCCGAGGCCCGCACCACAGCCATGATTGTTTGTCTAAAGTAGATTTCTTTCACGGGCACTCAAAGGGAAGCCACAGCCTCAGGGTGAAATGCTGGGACAACCAGGCTTATTAGAGGCCACCATACATAAACAGGACAATGGTTTTAAGGTATTTTTCACGTTCATTAATGAAAACCTCAAACTTGTTAATGATGTAATTAGACCAAACAGGACACCATGTCAGCACTATCTTTTGACACGACTCACTCAAGCTAAACCACAGAAAAACATATTTTTCTTGAAATCTTTTTTTCTTTTAAATGGCATTTTTTCCAGGCTGTTTTTCTTATAGTCATATTTGTTCCCATTGATATTTTGGTGTTTTTCAGTAAGAAACACAATAATGTCTTTAATAATGAAGCAGTTTTATTGCAAAGTCCAATACTAGTGGGCAACAAAACCGTCTATCTAGGTCATGTGAAGGATGTTGATGTGGGTCAGCGCTGGACAGCATGCAACTTGCCGGTGCCCTTAATCATAGTGTTCCTAAATAGTCATGTCTGTGCTAGGATAGTTAATATAAAACCTGTGACAATCAACTAGAAGGGAATGCCCCTGGAAGCTCATCTTGAAAAGGAGACCTCTTTCAGTATATTAACAAAAAGCTAGCTCAGCAAGTCTGAGTTAGCTGGGTGGAAGAAAGGGTTGACACCTGCCAGTCAACTCTAGGGGCTCCCCCTTTCTCACAAAGCCATTTCCTCAAACAGGGAGATCCCATTGTTAGAGTTACCCAAATGTTCTATGCACGGGGGCCAGGCCCATTCCACAGCCTTCCCAGTCTAGCAAGCCTGAGATCGTGGTGGAAGCATGGAACCTGGGCACATGTCATCAGCCAGAGCATTGTCACATGGTTACACCTGCTAAAGGGAAGTTGAGAAATGTGGTTTAGCTGGGAAGCACGTGCCTGGACAAGACTTGCATTACCAT